TGTATTGGCCATGTGGAACACCATCAAACCAGTAAGGTCTTGTGGGTATATGAATCCCTGAGGAAAAGGTTAAAATGAACTCAGGGTATTCATGTTCTTACACGAGACATAGGAACATATTATGAGTGGATAAACTCCTAAGTGGTGGATGCTACTAGTCAAATTCGAAATTGACAAATGTCTGGTCATAAGTTGACATATAATGAGGTAGTAAGTAGCATATGGTTCACTGGATTAATGGTTAAAGGAAAACCATGAAAATGAGAAAATGAATTCTCAAGAACAGCATTGTTCCTAAGCTGTTCATGGACTGAAATTATGCAGCTGCAAGTAATATGGTATACTAAGAAAATACTTGGTACAATCAGTCCATGTGTATTATACAAAAGGTGTATAGTAAACCAATCCATAGGAAGGATGGATGGTAAAATGACTTATTCATTGGTTTAAGTCATTGGCATATGTGTTGGAATCAGCACTACCAAACCTCATAAAGAGGTGGACGTATGGAAAGGCTAAGGGAGCCGTATGGTCCATACCAAAGTTCATACCGACCAAGGCTAGGTCCGGATACATTCTAAGTCCAAATCATCCATGGTGTGATGACTAATATGTTGGTTCAAAACGTGCTTATGACTTAGAGGTACTAGACTATCAAGGTGCATAGTTTAAAGGTCCTAAGGAACCAATGTAGTATAAACTATACCTATACATCACCACACAAACCATGTTGCTATGGCAACATTAGGCACTCATTGGCGAGTTGTTGACATGTGTGGGTAAGGTCCATGACTACAATGTACTTTGGTACGTTGCTTAATACAAGAAGGTCATGGGACACCATCAAAGGAAGTATGGTATGTGATGTTTAAGTACAAAGGTCATAGTGTGGGACTTGAATGTAGGCACGACCATTAGGCTAGTACTAATGGATTAAAGAAAACTATAAGAGTCCAAAAGAGTGACCAAAAGTAGGCATGGTTAAGTCCTAATGGATATTGTATTGCTAAAGGCAAGAAAGGTCGATAAGTCATGTATAAAGGTCCATAAGCATTTGCTGCAGATCCATGGTTTGATGTGATCATAATATTCATTGCAGCAACTGGTGAGGTAACTCATAAGGTTATGGACGTGATAGTTAAGGTCTATTACTTAACATGAACTTACCCAAAGGATAGGAAAGGATATCGACCATAATAGACAAGACCTAAGGTTGGTCCATATATGTTTTGGTCTATGACTCTATATAGTATGTCCACGAAATGGCTAGTCCATATGATCAGTGGATCCGTGGGACATAAGAGGATATGAGATGGGCCTGCAAACAATGGCTGTATGCAGATCATAATCCCATCCAAGAACTGGTCAAGTACCATCCGACCAGGACACCAGTCCGACAAGGAAATCAGTCCAACCAGGACATAGAATGGTCAGTAGCATGAGAGGCACGACATGACCATGTCTTAATGG